TTTCCTTGTTTCAAGGTTTCCAATTTTGGACTTCAGTTATGGGGAGTAAGCTCTGCCAGGGCATTCTGTGTACCGTAATCACAAACTATCCAACTTGCCTTCCCTCCAGCCCCTCGCATAGTCTCCACTGTGCTGTTTATGAACTGGCTGGTTTAGTTCTCATACTAAGTGGAACCATTCTATTTGTCTGGTTAAGTCTTCCTTAGCAAAATGTTTTTAGGGTCTATCCCTGTTACTCTTTTTATTTCCTTCCTTCCTTCCTTCCTTCCTTCCTTCCTTCCTTCCTTCCTTCCTTCCTTCCTTCCTCCTTCCCAGAAGCACAGGATAATCCAATGGATGAAGGGTATTAGTTTTATTGTTTTGTTTTTGTTTTTGTTTTTTTGTTTTTTGTTTTTCGAGACAGGGTTTCTCTGTGGCTTTGGAGGCTGTCCTGGAACTCGCTTGGTAGTCCAGGCTGGTCTCGAACTCAAGAGATCCGCCTGCCTCTGCCTCCCGAGTGCTGGGATTAAAGGCGTGCGCCACCAACGCCCGGCTGGGTATTAGTTTTATTGTTGATGCTGTTTTTGGTTTTTCGATACAGGGTTTCTCTGTGTAGCTTTGGCTGTCCTGGAACTTGCTTTGTAGACCTGGCCTTGAACTCACAGAGATCTGCTGTTTTTTTTTGTTTTTTTTTTGTGTGTGTGTTTTGTTTTTTAAACTCTTAATGGCTCTTTGGGGGCCCACCACCAGCTCCCAGATAAATCACATGAGGAGGCTTATTCTTTCTTTGAATGCCAAGTCTTAACTTTGCGTATTTCTAGCCAGCTTTTCGTAACTTAAATTAGCTATCTACCCTTTGCCTCTGGGCTTTCACCTTCTCGATTTCTGTATGTATATTTTCTTTCCTTATTCTGTGGCTGGCTATGTGACTGTGTGACTGGCCTCTTCTTTTCTCGATCCTTGGTCTATCTTTTTCTTCTTCTATTCTCTCTGCCTGCCAGCCTCGCCTATCCTTTCTCCTGCCTTGTTATTGGCTGTTCAGCTTTTTATTAGACCAATCAGGTATTTTAGACAGGTAGAGTAGTAACACAGCTTCACACAGTTAAACAAATTCAGCATAAAAGAATGCAGCATACTTTTGCATCATTAAACAAATGTTCCACAGCACAAAAGAATGTAACATATCTTGAAATAATATTCCCCAACATTCATCTACTGTAGCCAAGCTTTCTTTGGACCACCAGCTCCCAAATAATGACATGGAGAGTTTTTATGAAAACTTGGCCTTAGCATAGGCTTGTTCCCAGCTAGCTGTTAAAACTTAAATTAACCCATTTATATTAATCTACATTCTGCCAACATGACTCAGTACTATATGTCCAACTTCCTCTGCATCTAGGTTCCTTCCCAGAGTTCCTATCTTTCCCCAGAATTCCTATCTGCCCTCTCCTGCCTAGCTATTGACCATTTGGCTCTTTATTAAACCAACCAGAAGGTGCCTTAAGCAGGTGAGGAAGGACAACAACACATCTTCATACCGTACAAAAAGATTATCCCAACAGCCTACCTCTGGGATTAAAGGTGTATGCCACTACCACTAGGCCTAAGGATATTCTTTGAAACAAAATTAAACATTTATATGCAAAAATGGAAATCTCAACCTAAACCTCACACTTTACATAGAAATTAACTCAGTTGGTCATGCATCTAAAAACAAAACTTGGGGGGGAGAGAGAGAGAGAGAGAGAGAGAGAGAGAGAGAGAGAGAGAGAGAGAGAGAGAGAGAGAGAGAGAGTGTGTGTGTGTGTGTGTGTGTGTGTGTGTGTGTGTAAATGGGAGGGTGCATGTGTGGAGGCCAGAGGACAGCTTGGGGGAATCACTTCTTTCCTTCCATCTGGGGATTGCACTGTTGTCAAGTTTGGCCCAGTTAAGGGAAAATGCTTGGAAACTGCTAAAGCAAGGTTTTTGTTTCTGACAGACTCAGCTCTATCACAGTTTGAAACAGTTCCCCTTAGTTGGCATCTATTTAGAGCAGCCATGTGGTGAATAAAAAGGCTTGCCAGACATGTGGGTTGGGGCGGGAGGTGGGGGGGTGGAGATGATAGCTGCGTTCTGTAGATAACTAACTCTGCTCTTCTTTTCACCACCTGTAAGAGCAGATCATACTGTATATGTAGCGGAGAACTGGCTGCCACTTCGGGTGATGACTCTCTCCATATGTACTGCTTGAAGGCTAGAACATCACTTACATGGTAGTATGATTGGTGTTGAAGGACAGAACCACAATCTAAGTTTTTTGGTTTTTTTTTTTTCCTATTTTGTTTTTATTTCATTTGAGATTGACTCATGTAGCTCATGCTGGCCTCATACTCACTATATCACAGAGGAACCTCCTGCCTCTATCTCCCAAATGCTGAGGTCACAGCTGTATCATTTATGCCCTCATAAGATTCCCCCCCCAATTTTGTGGTTTTGGGAGTTAGACCTGAGACCTGAGACAAGCACTCTGCCACTGACCTACATCCATAGCCCAGTTTAAAGATCTTTTTTTTTTTTGGTTTTTCGAGACAGGGTTTCCCTGTGGCTTTGGAGCCTGTCCTGGAACTCACTCGGTAGACCAGGCTGGTCTCGAACTCACAGTGATCCGCCTGCCTCTGCCTCCCAAGTGCTGGGATTAAAGGCGTGCGCCACCAACGCCCGGCCAGTTTAAAGATCTTATTTGGCCTTATTTTTGATTCTAGAACCAGGCAACCCAACACTAGGTTGTTGATGACAAAAGACAAAAGTATAAATTTAGTTTATTGATTTTAATTTTTGTTTTGTTTTGTTGTTATGTTTAGAATTCTGTACCAGGCAACACTTTATTCCTTGAGATAGTTAAGATTTTAATGGGCCAAGAAGAATTTATTGAGTTTTATAGAAAGCCTAAAGACAGCAGAAACAAAGGGGAAACATGGTTCATTTCCAAGGTTCTTTCCTTGGCAGGTGGGCAAGAGGGCTGAATAACTGAGAAACAACTGGTTAGTGTTTGGATGCCTAAGGCCACTGGTATAAAGAATACAATGAGAGAAGCTGATTGCTAGACCAGTTCAAACTGGTTGATTGGAGAATTTGCCTGTGCTTTTCTCCTGGCTTCTTGGAAGATCAGGTAAAAAAGCTTAGTTTCATGGTGCTTTGGTGACACAGAACTTTAGTTTTTAGCATGAAAACTGCATTTTATTTTAGGCATGCTTTGTGTGCATTTGCTCTTCAAAAACAATGGCCTGGAATTTTAACACATCATATTTGACTGAAGTCTAATCATAAGGAAACATCACACAAATCCAAAATTAATTTAGGGGTAGGAGGTCTTGCTACAGAGCCCAGGCAGGAACTCTTGCTGGGATTACAGACACCACCATGCTCAGCCCAATTTTTATTTAAAGCATTTGGGTGGTTTGTTTATTTGGGTTTGTTTTATTTGTTTGGTGTCTTATTGCTGTGAAGAGGCACCATGACCATGGCAGCTCTTATAAAGGAAAACATTTAATTGACGTGGCAGCTTACAGTTCAGAGGTTAGTCCATTATCATCATGGCAGGGAGCATGGCAGCATGTAGGCAGACATGGTGCTGGATACCTATTGATTAGAAGACAATAGGAGTGGACTTTGACTCTAGGCAGTATCTTGAACATATGAGACCTCAAAGGCCACCTCCACAGTGGCACACTTCTCCAACAAGACCATACCTACTCTAACAAGGCCACACCCCCTAATAGTGCCGCTCCATTTGGGGGCTATTTCTTTCAAACCACCACATTTGTTTTGGTTTTTATTTGTTTGTTTCACGACAGGGTTCTGCTACGTAGCTCTGGCTGCCCTGGAACTCGCTCTGTAGACCAGCCTGGCCGCCCCAGTGCTGGGATTAAAGACTTGTGCCACCACCCCCAGGCTAATGGAAAATATTCTCATCTGGCATTGCCACATAGATGGTTGGTTGTATCACGGCCTGTAGAACTGGCTCAGTAGTTAAGGACACTTTGCTGCTCTTGCAGAGGATCCAGATTTAGTTCCCATCACTTACTTTAGGTGGCTCACAGCCACTTGTAATTCTAGTTCAAGGAGATATGGTGCCCTCTTCTGGTATCTGTGCTTATGTATACATCCCACACACAGATACACAAAATTAAAAAATTAATCTTTTTAAAAAAGTGTTTTAAGTGCTATAATAGCTGTTTAAACATGATAATCTTAAGAAACACAGTAAAATATTTAGAAGGCAAATGAATATAATGCATGCAACTTTAATGGGTTAGAAAAGACTATTATGAGCTGGGTGGTGGTGGTGGTGGTGGTGGTGGTGGTGGTGGTGGTGGTGGTGGTGGTGGTGGTGGTGCACACCTTTAATCCCAGCACTCAGGAGACAGAGACAGGCGGATCTCTGTGAGTTCGAGACCAGCCTGGTCTACAGAGCGAGTTCTAAGATGGGCTCCAAAGCCACAGAGAAACCCTCTCAAAAAAACAAACAAAAAAAGACTATTATGAATGATCCAACAAATGATCAGACAAATGGAGCACAGATACAGGTGCTCTTTGTACTCTTTATGTAGGTTAAAAAGCTTCAAATTATTGCCACATTACCTTAGTTAGGTCCTCAGGAACCAATTCCTGCAAGTTGTTCTCTGGCCTCCTTGCACGTGTGCATGCACATACGTACACTAAGTAAATAAACATGATTTTTAAAATTCGCAGCTTTCCATTTCAGGGTGTATTGCTATACATAAAAGTGTTTTACCTCCTGTAGCTTGTGCTGGTCTAGGTGAGCCATATACTGTTCCACGGGTGTTGACTCAGTTGTTTATGCCAGAAAGCCATGGACCAGCAGCCTGGGTTTGTGGTACCTAGCACCCAGCAGGGAAGCTCCTGGAATGCCCGTGAAATGCCCCAGGTGCACTTGTATTAATTATTATGCTTACATGTTACTGACTTAGACATAATCTGTTGGTCTATGTTGTGCTTTGATGACCATATTTCTCTTTCAGCCCAAAATGGAGTTAATCCTGACTGGGAGAAGAAAGTTATTGAATACTTCAAGGAAAAACTGAAGGAAAATAATGCTCCTAAATGGGTAAGCTTACTGCTGTTTACAGGGAGAGAGAGTTGACTGGCTATAGTTTGTCTCAGTGGAGTAGAAACCCCCATGTGATTAGAAGTAGAGAATTAGTGCATACTACTGTTCCCAGTACATATGCATTAGAAGGCTTTGGTCTGATGTCTCAGAGTTGTGCCTCTAGGTGGCAGTAAATGACTGCTCCCAACTGGTTTCTAAGCGTAGCTGCCACCTATGTTTTGTTCCCTCCTAAAAAAATTGGCATGTGTTAATATTTAGAGGACTTATCAAAGTGCATGCCTTTCTGTTGTTTGAAAGGGTTCAGGAATCCTTTGTAGGAGGTGATGTCTACAGTCTGGGGCTTCTGGAGGTTGACATAGGAGGATCATGATGGGGCCAACCTTGACTATTAGTGAATTCCAGACCATTCTGAGCTACAAAGTGAGACTGTGTCTTAAAAAGAGAAAAGAAAACAACATAGAGAAGACAGGCAGGGAGGAAAGAAAGCTGTGCATACCTATTATGGTCAAGAGATAGCACAGGAACTTGGAAGAAGTTAGCTTCTAGATAGGACTAGATTTTTGACTGTGTTTGTACTTAACATTTACAGACAACAACTTTGCTGACTTGCTTGTTTGTTTTCTTTGAAGGTACCATCATTGAATGAAGTTCCCCTTCATTATCTGAAACCTAACAGCTTTGTCAAGTTTCGTTGTATGATTCAGGATATGTTTGACCCTGAGTTTTACATGGGAGTTTATGAAACAGTTAACCAGAACACAAAAGCACGAGTATGTATTGCTTTCCTTTTGAGCTGTTATAACTTAGAATATTAATTATATATATATATATATATAATCTTTGTTTTTTGTTTTGGTAATAGGTTCTTCATTTTGGAAAATACAGGGATGTAGCAGAATGTGGGGTATGTATCTTTTATGATATTTCAAACATTTTTTGCATAATTTTTTTTCACCTAAAATGAGAATTCTTTTTTCTTTGATTGGTCCTTAATGTTCTTGTGATGGAGCAACGATATACTGCACATTACTGAAAGTAAAAATAAGTATTTATTGTAGAAATTACTCACAAGAGACAAACAAGTAACCCAGATGAGCTGAGTAGTGTTCCGCCACCGAACTGGAAGCCGGAAAGCCGGAAAAGAGAGCGAGACTTCCGTTGTTCAGTCTCTCTCTCTCTCTCTCTCTCTCTCTCTCTCTCTCTCTCTCTCTCTCTCTCTCTCTCTCTCTCTCTTTTTTGTTTTTTTTTACGAGACAGGGTTTCTCTGTATTGTTTTGGAGGCTATGGGTCCAGCCCGGCCTCGAACTCACAGAGATCGGCCTGCCTCTGCCTCCCGAGTGCTGGGATTAAAGGCGTGCACTACCACCGCCCGCCTCCGTTGTTCAGTCTCTTATACCTTCCTTCGTAATGCCCCTAGCCATGCCCAAAAGTGGGCCTGGCTAGTGACGTAGTTCACCGCCTACATCTGTATATGTCTTTAGTCATGCCTAAAGTGGGTGTGGTTAGTGGTACGGTAAACCACCCTTTTATTACCTCATCTGTGTGCACCTCTAGTAAGTCACATGGCAGCACGCTGCTTCCTCCTACATTCTTGTCTTGTGTGAATGAGTTCTTAAAAATCAGGCAGAAGCCGGGTGTTGGTAGTGCACACCTTTAATCCCAGTACTCGGGAGGCAGATGCAGGTGGATCTCTGTGAGTTCCAGACCAGCTTGGTCTACAAGAGTGAGTGCCAGGATAGGCTCCAAAGCCACAGAAAAACCCTGTCTCAAAAAAACAACAAATTTGTCCTTAAGAGTTTTTCTGACATTATTTTGTCTTTTAAATATTTTTAGCAATATTGTAAATACCAAGATTCTTCCTTAGTATCTGTGACTAAAAGCACGGTGTATGGTTATTTCTTTAAACAAAAGTGAAATATTAACTTAGACTTAACACTTTCTCAATTAGATGTAATTAAATATTTGTGGGGCAGAGAGCACATATCATGTTGGTGAAAGGACATTCATATGTGGGTCCTAGGGCTCAAACTCAGGTAATCAGACTAGACAGAAAATGCCTTTGTCCACTGAACTATCTTGTCACTCCCTCAATTAAATACGATTAAATCTTACCCTGATTTTCTAGGGGAAGGTTGGTTTTTTTGGGGGGTGTGTTGTCAGAGATTAAAGAAGCATAGACCGTATGAAAGTAAAGCATGACCCTTACTAAATTGAGCAATACCCCCAACTTGAAAACACACCCTTTTGTGTAAGGATGTCACTGTGTAGCCTGACCGGCGTGGCCTGCAACTTGTATCCTTCTGCTTTCACTCACCAGGTGTTGGGTCTGCAGGTATGTTACTATCACACTTGACTTTACATCTGGGTTTTAAAACAAACTTCTCATTGCCACAAAGAAGTAATCTCCATATTAGTAACAGGGAATGCACATAGTATTGGATGTCATGTAGCTGCAAAAAGCATTAAGTTCATTTTGACACCTGTTCAGCGGGTGGTGTCTTGGCTGGGGCTGTGAAAATTTATTTTTATTTTAACAATAAAAGGGACTGTTAGCACAGCTAGAGAAACCAGACAGCTAGCAGTGCCTCCTGCCATTTGCTTTTGTTTTTATGTTTTCTGTTGAAAGGCAGACCTTAATTGCCAGTTGTTGGGAAGAAAATAAAGATCCCAGGTGGGGTTAAAGCAGGCTGGTCAGTAGGAAGGTGAGGCCTCTGTGCTTACCTTTTCTGGGTTCAGCTCTCTACTTTATGGATCCAGAACCTTTGTTTTTCCATCTTAGGACTATTTCTTTTTTTATCAGGCAGGTGTATTAAGGAAAACTCCTCACAGCTTTTAAAATAAATATTTAGATTGCTCTCCCTGGGGAGTAAGGTCTAGATTTTAAATCCATTTCAGAGGTAATCATACTGAGAATTTACTAAATTTTGTTGGCATAGGCTGAATTGGGTGGTTTCTATAAAGAGATTGAGTACTTTTGACATCTGGAGGTTCACTACAGCCAACCCCAGGAACCAAACCCAGGGCATCATACACATTAAGCAAGGTCTCTTTATCACCGAGTTCATGCTTGTCTTTAAAAGGATTTAGCTTCATAACTAGGGTGCTGTATGTTATGGCTTTGAGGAAAGCATTGCCTTGGCTATTATGTTTGAAAAGATTTCCCTTGTGTTTGTTTTTTAATATGCTGGCTTGAGATAACTCAGTGGGTAAGAGCAGTTGCTGCCAAGCGTGATGGCCATAGTTCAGTCCCTGAAACCCACACAGTGGAAGGAGAAAATCAACTTCTGTAGGTTGTCCTGTCTCTTCCATATGTAAGCCATAGCATGCACATGTCCCTCCTACCCACATACACAGTACATAATTGAAAAATATAGTAAAAATCGAAGTTGGAAAGCTGGATGTAGTGGCTCCCTCCTGTAATCCCTGAACTTGGGAGCCTGATGCAAGAGGATTGCCAAATGTTAGAGCCCGACACGAGCTAGAGTGACACCCTCCCACCCCACCCCACATCCCAAAAAAAGAAAAAGAAGGTAGTTTTGGAAGCATAGAGGGTGATTGTGTGGTGGTGATGGCATCTGCCTTTACCATGCTTGGGCATCTGAAGCGGAGGATCCCAAATTCTGTGCCAGCCAGAGCTGCACGTGGAGATGCTGGCTCATCAAAAAAAAAAAAAAAAAAAAAAAAAAAGGCAAGCTTGAATTGCTTGTGCTGATAACATTTACTTTGATTTTATAATACAAAAATGTATTTTTCTTAACAAAATTTTAAAAGTGCTTTTCTGTATCTCATAGCCTCAACAGGAACTTGACTTAAGCTCTCCACGATCTACCACTGCAGAAAGACAGACCTTCTACTGTGTTCCAGTGCCTGGGGAATCTTCATGGGTCAAAGAGATATCCTTTATCAGAACCTTACTATTTGCTGAGTGACTTAAATTTTTTTCTTAATTTAAAGGATCACAATTCATATTATAGAATTGTAACCCTGATGACATTATCCAGGAAAAAATGTGTTCATATACAAAGTATGTCTTTAATAAGATATAAATTTAACTATTATAGAGAAATATCTAAATTATGATATATCCATATAGTGAAATACTATTAAAATAGATTGAGATAGATTTATAGATAATTATTATGACAATAGGAGAAGGGTACAATTTGGAATTAGAATGCATTATATTTTAGTTTTTAAAGTTGTGTGTGTGTGTGTGTGTTTCTGCACTGAGTGTATGTGCACTACATGCTTACAGGAGGAGCCCATAGGGAAGTGGGAAAAATTTCACATCCTTGGAGTTACTTGGGTCCTTTGCAAGAACAGCCTGCATTCTTAACCACTGAGCCACCTCTCCAACCCCAGTAAGCTGTATCTTCAAATACATGTTCCAGTCATTTAGTTAAAACTGTTGGGTTTGGGGGGGGTTATTTTGTCTTCTGGTGATTATGTTTTGAGGCAAGGTCTCATGCAACTCAGGTGCCGGCCTTCAGTTCCTGATCTTCCTCCAACTGCTGGGGTTAATTACATCATGTGCCTCCAAGCCTGACCAGACTTGGACCTTTTAAACCTTTGCATAGTATTCCCTGTCTCTTTCAGTGTGTGTGGCTTCTCTAGTTTGGTTCTTCATCCTCAGTGCTGTTACTTTATTTTTCTTCTCCTGATCTATGTTGCCAGGAGTTTGTCAAATGTTCTCTCTAAAGAGTTCGGCCTCCTTTGATTACTATCCTTTCCTTTGATCTCATCCTTTCTATATTTATCTTTTCTTTTCCTTTTTACAGAGCTGAGGCTTAAACCCAGCCCCCTTTGTATGCTGGATAAGCCCTCAGCCCTGACCTACATCTTCAGATTTTTCTAGCTTCTTGAGCGGGACACTCAGTTATTGATTTCAGATTTTCTGATATTGACAGTTAGAATAAATAAGTAATAAATTAGAGCAATAAATTCTTCTGATCACTGCTTTGGTTTCTAGTCTTCCTTGTGATCTCTGACTGTCTCAACAGTGTCATTTTGTAGTCTCTCTTTTCTTTGTGTTACTATCATCTTGTATTTCATTTGTGTATAAACCATAGAGCCTGTGCTACTGGTATTTGTTTATGTGTATGTTTTTTGTTTTGTTTTTCTGTCTGCATATATGTCTGTGCACCAAGGGCGTGCCTTGTGCTCTAGGAGGCTAGAGGGGTTTATTAGATTTCCTGAGACTGGAGTTGGGGTTAAAGACAGTTATCAGCCACTGTTTGAGTGCTGGAGGTGGGACCAAGGCCCTCTCAAAGAACAGCCTGTGCTCTTAGCCACTGAGTCATCTTTCCAGCCTGTTTTAAATTAATTCATTAATTTGTTTACGTATTTATTTATAAAGCTATATTTAGGAGAGGGCATTGAATCCCCCGGAGCTGGAGTTACAGGTGTTTGATGTGAGTGCAGGGAACTGAACTCTGGCCCTCGGGCAGTAAGTAGTCTTAACTGCTAGCCATCTCTCTGGCACCTTGTTTGTCTTCATCATTTATACTTGCAATGTATTCACTATCTCCGGTTCGTTCATTCGTGTGTGTGTGTGGGGGAGAGATTATTTCCCTTAGATCCCTCCCCCCTTTTTAAAAGAACAGGTCTGAGGTGGTGAGCTCTTTCATGAAAGTTCAGTTCTTTTCACCTTCATTTTTGAAGATTTTCATTAAATGTAAAATTCTTGATTGACACATTTTGATAGTGTCTTAATGATACAGTGCCACCATCTCTTAGCTTCCATTCTTTTTTGATGAGAGGTTAGCTGTCATTCTTATTATTCCTCTCCTATAGTATGCCTTTTGTACTCCTGTTGCTACTTCTAAAATATTCTTTTCTCTTTTGTTTTCAGCCTTTTAACTATGGTGTGCCTGGGTATGGATTTTTTGGTTAGGAAGTTTGGGAGTTCCTGCCCTTTTCTTGGGAAATATACTTCTCTTAATGGGGTTTGGGTGAACTTTCCAGTTTCTGGATATTTTTCAGCAACACTTTTAGCCATTTCTTAAGGTATTTTTTTGTGTTCTTCAATCTCAGTACAAAACACAGACTGGACTGTATGAGTGCAAGTGTGTATACAGCTGGGGGTTTTGTTTGTTGTTTGTTAATGTGAGCTCTGGTAGGGAAGCACATTACTGACTGAAGTCTCTTCCCAGTCATTTTTTTGGAAAGTTGGTCACATAATTATAAGACTACTTGAACCTGGGTATTGGTGGTGCAGGCCTTTAATCCCAGCACTTGGGAGGCAGAGGCAGGCGGATCTCTATGAGTTCAAGACCAGCCTGGTCTACAAGAGCTAGTTCCAGGACAGCCTCCCAAACAATACATAGAAACCCTGTCTTGAAAAACAAACAAACAATAAAACAAGACTATATCTTTTCTTTTGATAGTCATCTTTTGTTCATTTTTGCTTTTTTCTTTCTTGGATTTTCTCTTTTGTTTCATTTTTTTCCGGGGGATTTTTGGTTTTTGGAGATAGGGTTTCTCTGTGTAATAGCCCTGGCTGTCCTGGAACTCTTTTTGTAGATCAGAATGGCCTCTGAGTGCTGAGGTTAACAGCCCTGGCTGTCCTGGAACTCTTTTTGTAGAGCAGGCTGGCCTCTGAGTGCTGGGGTTAAAGGCATGCCCTACCACCACCAGCTCTTGGTTTGTTTTTTTAATTCTTTTGCTAGAAGTTGAGCCCATTCCTTAGAAGCAGGCAAAGCATTCTCCCACAGAGAAAACGCCAATTAGTGGATTTTTGTTCTGTTGTATGATGGTTTTTTTCCCCTCATTTTGCTTTAGTTGAATTGTTATTGTTAACTTGTGTCCAGGTTCACTGAGTTTTTCCCCCCCCTCCATTCCTCGTCTATTAACAGACCACTCTTGTGTGTGAAGTGTGTTTCTGAGCGGTTTGGGAGTGGGGGCAGGGTCAACAGAGGTAGTTTGTGTTTTTGTTGTTTTCCTCATTTCACATCTTTCTTTTAGATCTGATTTTCCATCTGGTTATTTCAGTGTTTCTATTCTCTGAATAGTCCTCATCTGTTTACTTGTTTGTTTTTGTTTTGGGGATAGTATTTCATGTAGCCTAGGCTGGGCTTGAATTTAACTTTAACAGATTTTATTTTCAGATCTAATTTTCCATTTGGAGCTACCAGTGTTTACATTTCTCTGAATATTCCTTTTTTGTTTACTCATCTTTTTGGTTTTGAGACACTATTTCTTATAGCCTAGGTTGGACTAAAATTTGCCTTATTTCCAAGGATGGTGTTGAATTTCAGGTCATTCTATCTCTACCTCTAGAGTGCTGGGATTATTGGCTTGCACCATCACACTTGTTTTATGAGGTGACAGGGGTTAACTCAGGGGTTTATGCATGCTAGGTAACCATTCTGTCAACTGAGCTACATCTATCTGTAGCTCTATCCTTTAATACTGTGAGTTACCTTTCTGTTAAATCCCTACCCACTAATTCTAGAGTCTGTTATCTCTAGGTTTGTTTGCATTGCTTTACATATATGATAACAGGTCAGATTTTCCTGTTTCTTTAGTTGACTACTGTTTTATTATCTGCTAAAAAGCAGCATTGCAGTAGAGAGTTGAGTTTCCTGTCTTCAGAAGGGTTGAGTTTGGTTTTGGCACTTTGTATGTTGGATCAGGTTTTTTCTTGTTAAAGAATGGTTTAGGAACTTACCAAGATGGGTTATAGAGTTAACTCCTGGTCCATAAGACATAGTCCCAAACAACAACATGGGATGTGTCTAGCTCTTAAATGCCTGGGATGTTCTGCCAGGTCTGTGTTTGATGTTTGCATGCACAGTCTCCATTTAAGTTCTCTGCTGGGCCTTCAGGAATGAGAAACTTGAGTTAGAATCTGCAGCTTCGTGCTTGACTAGAGATAAAAATTCCTGGGTCTTCTGTCTACAACTGGTTCCTCTGGATACCCTTTTGCAAATTTCTGCTGCTTCTGTAACTCTGAGCACTAGGCTTTCTTTCTCCAACCAACAAGAGCTAGACTTCTTCTCATCTTTGCTACAGTTTGGAAGGTACTCCTGTAGCCAGAAGAATATGGAGTTTTTCCTTGGGTAGTGTCTCCTTATTCAAGAATCATAACCTTACCTTCACTGTTGTCCAATGCCTGCAGACAGATACTTTATCTGTGTTGTCCAGTTTTATTGTTTTTACTGAGAGGAGGTGGGGCATAGAACAAAACTTGTTATTTATATACCAAACCTGGAAGTCTAGCCTCCTTCCAAAAGTGTTATAGGAGCCGAGAGATGACTCAACTGTTGAGAACTCTGGCTGCAACCTGGCAATGGTAGCATGCTTCTCTAATTCCAGCACTCAGGAGGCAGAGGCAGGTGGATATCTGAGTTCGAGGCAGGCTTGGTCTCTAGAGCGAGTTCTAGGACATCCAGGGCTACACAGGGAAACCCTGTCTCAAAAAAAAAAAACCACCAAAACAAAAAGCAAAAAACCTGGCTGCTCTTGCAGAGCACCTGGGTTTGTTTCTCAGTATCTACATAGTCACTGAATGGTCTATAATTCCAGGTCTAGGGAATCTGACCTCCAAGGGCAGTGCATGCATGTGTTAATCAAACATACTTGCAGGCAAAACATTCATAAACATACAAATAAGTAAATCTTTAAAAAAACCTGTTAACTGAATTGTCAAATTCAGTTTTATAATCATGTAATTAGCATAATTTAGGATCATCTGGTTCAAGATGATTGTCTTCTTAACCTTCTATTTAACGCCTATGTCAATGCAAACCAAGCTCGAGTCAGTCCCTCAACTTCCTATACTCCCAGTCGGCACAAGAGGAGTTATGAAGATGATGAAGAAATGGACCTACAGCCCAGTAAACAGAAAGACCAACATGCAGGTGCCCAGCATGCAGGTAATGTGTACCCTCAGCTTCCTCTTGACAGCATAGCTCTAGATATGGGAACTGGTATGGTGTAATAACCTCATTTCATATTCATCGTAACTGGATGTTGTTGGTTAGGGTGAAGGTGGGTAGTAGAATTTTGACCTTGATGGTATGAGGCCCTAATTCCATCCCTAGTGTCTGGGGTGGGTGTGTTGTAGGCACTTTTGAGCATTTTTACAGTGAGTACTCTTTGGAAAGCTGCTCTGATGGATACTTTTAGTTTCAGGTGGTTGACTAGGGAAAAAAATGTTTTTCTGTCTTCATAATTGTCCCAACAATTGAAAGCATAATCGTTTTTGACCCTAAAAGTGACTTAGCTGAGCCACGTGTTGGTAGTACACTCCTTTAATCCCAGCAATCAGGAGGCAGAGGAAGGCAGATCTCTGTGAGTTCGAGGCCAGCCTGGTCTACAGAGAAAGTTCCAGGACAGCCTCCAAAACTACACAGGGAAACTCTGTCTTGAAAAACTAAAAAAAAAAAAAAAAAAAGACTTAGCTGAAAACATCCTTTCTTGCTTGCTTTTGGAACCACGGTAGTTCTGTTGATTTTTGTTGTTGTTATTTGTTTTGTTTTTCAAGGCAGGGTTTCTCTGTGTAGCTCTGGCTGTCCTGGAACTCACTCTGTAGTCTAGGCTTGCCTCAGACTCTGGGATTAAAGGAAGTATGTACCACCACCCCAGATTCAAGTACAGCTAATTCTAATGCACCCTGGAGACAGCAGGTGATGGTGTATAAAAGCTTAAGAATTCTGAATCCCCATGTATTATTTATTTCATTCTTGCACGTAATGAGCAGTGACTTTCTTCATATGGCAAGTAGACAAGTTTGTCTTTATTTATGGGTTAGTCACTTCCCTTCAGAAGTGAGAACCTCTGTCTTTAAAGTAGGATTGAGGGAGCTTATCAAACAGTCAAGAACATAAAGGTATACTGATAAATTTCATTTGGCTGTATTGTGAATTGGCATTTGTAATTGTATTTTATAGAGTTAGAATACTGATTTTTTTTTCTTTTTTTGCTGGGTTTGTTTTTTGAGACAAGGTTTCTCTGGGTAGTCTTGGCTATCCTGGAACTCACTCTATAGACCAGACTGGCTTGAACTCAGCAGAGATCCGTCCACCTGCCTCTGCCTCCTGAGTGCTGGTATATAAGTTGGGAGAGGACAGGAGCTGAGTGAGTCTGAGGTTTAGTAGAGATGGGTGCAGTCTGAGGTTTGTTGGATCGTTTCTTCATTCCTGAGCATTGGTGGAGGTGAGAACTCTAGGGGCTGGCTGCTTTGCTTCTCTGATCTCTAGCTGTTTTCTTTCTGTTCATTCATTCATTCATTCATTCAGTGGAGGGGTGCTTCTGTTTCTTCCCTTTTGTCTGAGTGTTGTGAACTTTCAAGATTTTGTACATTTGTGCGATGTGCTGCTTGTTAGTTTCTAGGTTTTTGTCTCAGGCTACATAGAATTTTTAAACTCTCCCATTTTGAGATCAGTAGAGTTAGGCAGCATTGTGAGAAGTAATACAGAGAGATCCAATAACCTTAATAGTGACACCTGTGTATTTCTAATCTTAATAGCATATTCTTTTCGTTTTTCTTATGGTAAAGAGGTTGGACCCCAGGGCCTCACACACTAGACAAGAGCCGCAGCCGTACCCTGGAGTACTTTTAATAGATCACAGCCAGGAAGTGGCTTTGAGAGGAGGATCCATCAGCTTTATTCAGAACTCGACAGTTTTGCAGGGGTAGACTTGTTTATACTTATTTCTGTGCAGTTTTACTCTGTGGAGTTTTATATAGCTACTACACCAGGCAAGATACAGCATAGTTCATTACCCAGGTTTCATACCTGTCCATCACAAGAATCATACATAGATAAAGTCACCCACTGTGTAAACTTTGGGGCTTGGCTTTTTCCATCCAGTGTATTTTTTTTTCTTGAAATCCGTCTAAATTGTTGCGTGTACCAGGTTTGCTTGCATTTTCAATTTTTGACTAGTATTCCATGGTGTAGCAGGCTATATTTTTATTCTAATTACTATCAGCCTCAAATCGTAACTTACTTTGGAAGCAGCCACTGTATGTATGTATGTATTTATTTATTTATTTATTTATTTATTTTTTTGAGACAGGGTTTCTCTGTGGCTTTGGAGGCTGTCCTGGAACTCACTTTGTAGACCAGGCTGGCCTCGAACTCACAGAGATGTATTTATATCTCTAGTAGTTGGTTAACTACTGAACCATTATTGCTATTTTCATTTTTGTTTGTTTATGAAACCCTGTTCTTTCTATGCAGTCCGGTTTATCCTGGAGCCCACTGTATAGGCCAGGCTGTTCGCAAACTTAGAACAGCTGTGACTGCTGCTATGACCCTTTAATTCAGTTCCTTATGTTATGGTGACCCCCACCCATAAAATTATTTTTGCCGGGTGGTGATGACGCATGCTTTTAATCCCAGCACTTGGGAGGCAGAGGCAGGCGGATCTCTGTGAGTTCAAGACCAGCCTGGTCTATAAGAGCTAGCTAGTTCCAGATCAGCCTCCAAAGCCACAGAGAAACCCTGTCTTGAAAACCCCCCCAAAAAGTTTTTTTCATTGCTACTTCATTTTGCTACTGTAATTTTGGTACTGTTATGAATCATAATATAAAAATCAGATACTCAGGATATCTGATATACAACCCCTGTTAAAAGGTCCAAGAGGGTCGTGACCCACGGGTTGAGAAGCATTGGGTTAAAGGTGTGTGCCTCTACACCTGGCTTAGTTTTTATTTTTTATTTATTTTTTTGGGTTTTTTTTTCAAGACAGGGTTTCTCTGTGGCTTTGGAGGCTGTCCTGGAACTCGCTTGGTAGTCCAGGCTGGTCTCGAACTTACAGAGATCTGCCTGCCTCTGCCTCCCAGTGCTGGGATTAAAGACGTGTGCCACCAATGCCCGGCTTAGTTTTTATTTTTACGTTTATTAACTTCATGTATGTTTGTGGATATCTTTGATATCTGAAGAACAGATGTTGTACCAACAACAGAAAACCTTGGGAGATAGTCTTTTCCTGTTTTAAGTAGGATAAAGTTACACAAAAAGAAATTCATGCTGGGCAGTGGAGGCAGAGATAGGCAGATCTCCATGAGTTCAAGGCCAATCTGGCTACAGAGCCAGTTCCAGGACAGCCAGAGCTACACAGATTTACTAAGTATTCAGACTAAGTCGGGGTTGATAAGATGACTTGGCAGGTATAACCACCCACCACCAAACCAGGCTGTCTGAGTTCCAATCCTCAGAAACTAGTTATTTATTTTAATATCCATTCTTGCCTGTTGGAGATACTCAAGTGACAATATCTGAATTTAAAATTTTTAAAAATGTATTTTGTTTGTGAATTTTTGCCTGCCTGTATGTCTGCACCACATGAATGCTCAGAGGTTAGAAGAGGGTATGAGGACCCCAGGAACTGGAGTTAGGGATGATTATGAACCATCACATGGGTGCTGGGAACTGAGTCTGGGTCCTCTGCAAGAGCAGCTAGTGCTCTAAGTCTTGAACTGTCTCCAGACCCCGAAATTAATATTTCTTTGCCATTTACAAGTTTTTTTTGTTTTTTGTTTTTTGTTTTGTTTTGTTTTTTTTTTTTTTTGGTTGCTGGGGATTGAACCCCGGTCCTCTGGAAGAACAGTCAGTGCTCTTAACCGTTGAGCCATCTCTCCAGCCCTTGTTTTGTTTTGTTTTGTTTTGTTTTTTGTTTTTACTTTTTTGAAACAGTGTTTTTCTTTGCAGTCCTAGCTGTCTTGGAGGTCAGATCCTCATGCCTTTGCCTCTAGAGTGCTAGGACTAAAGGCTTGTGCCACCACGCCTGGCTAAGATTGTATTTTAACTACATTTTTTCCTTCCTTTTCCTCCCTCCAAACTCTCTTGTATACCCCTCCCTGCTCTCCTTCAAATTCATGGCCTCTTTTTCATCAACTGTTATTTTCTGCATGTGTGTATTTATATATACATATATATTCCTAAATATAATCTGTTAAGAGCATGCAATGTTAATTGTATGCATGTTTTAAGGGATGACTGTTAGGCACTAGACAACCAATTTGTGTGCCCTTCCCTGGGGAGGGCCAACTCTCCTGTTCCCAGCTTCACTTTAGTTGTATGTGATTCTTTGTATAGGGCTGAAGTCTTATGGGCTTTTTCCCATGCTATTTGGCATGTTCTTTGGTGTCCTTGTTCAGTTCACATTTAGGTTGTCATGTTGGTGAGACTTTACAGGTGTACTTTCTGATGTTACAAGGAGACCCAATCTCACAGCAAAGTCCCTGGACATCTGGCTCTTAAAACCTTTCTGTCGCCTTTTCTGCAGTGTCCCCTGAGTCTTGTGCTCAGGGGTGGTTTTGTAGATGCACCCATTGGCACTGGTTTCCACAGCTGCATTTTGATTGTGGTTTTCTGTAGTACAAAGAGAAGTTTCCTTAATGAGGAGTGAAACTGCGCTTACTTGTGGGTGTAACGATAACTCTTCATAGATTGTTGTTAGGGATTGATGCTGATTTAGTACCATAGTGGTTGTAGATTCTCCTTCAGTATTCATAACTTGACTAGCACTGAGTAGTTAGCTGTGTTTCCAGTACTAGGCATGGTTTCCTTCTTGTTGAGTGGATCTTAGGTCCAATTAGAGAGCTGTTGGTTACGCTCAAGGTGTCCGTGCTACTATCGCACTCTTAGGTTTATTGTGTTGTCCTGGTCATTGATGTAGTTCATAAGTGTCATAGCTGGGGGGATGAAATTAATTTTTGAAAGTACTTACATGAGTGGGACATCATGGCTTACATCTAAAATCTTAATACTAAGAAGACTAAGACAGCAGGGTAAGTTCAGTGCCAGCCTGTATCACAGAGTGAGACACTGTGGTAAGCCAATACTCTGTCTCAAAAAATGAAAAGAAACAAAAGGCTTTCACTATGTTTGATGGAGTAGTTTGTTGCCATTTCATAGTAAGAAAATAATTAAATATTTTAGGTGTGTATCTATCTTTGTTCTGGTAGAAGTCAAGCGATGTTATTAAAATTAGACATGATTTATGTCAAACTTGAAAAGCACCTTTGGAATGTTCTTTTCTTTGGGCTTAGAAGTGACCTCATGCAATACTGTTTGAGTCTAGGGGGCCTCGGTGGCCTTCACTGGTGCGGAGAACCAAAGCGCTTAGAAACTGAAGCTTCCACTGGGCAACAGCTGAACTCCTTGAACCTCTCTTCCCCATTCGATCTGAACTTCCCCCTGCCAGGAGAGAAGGGCCCTGCCTGCCTTGTTAAGGTACAGCCTTTCCTTGCTCTATCCACAGATTCTACTACCTCAGAAATGAGGCATTAGAGAAGCTCATCACTTGCCTGAATTTTCTTCTGCCACTATAACAAATTATTCTAGAATTAGTCATTTCTAACAATGAGTTATTTAGTCCATAAGTCTGACATGAGAACTGGATAAAACCTAGAGGCTGTGCTCTCTTCTGGGGGCTCTAGAGGAATGGAGGGAGGACAGGATCTGGGTTTTGTCTTTTGCTTCATCCAGCTTTGAGAGGCTGCCTGTATTCCTTGGCTTCTCCATCTTTAAGACAGCAACACTGTGCTGGGCTTTGGTGGCGCACGCCTTTAATCCCAGCACTCGGGAGGCAGAAGCAGGTGGATCTCTGTGAGTTCCAGGCCAGCCTGGTCTACAGAGTGAGTTCCAGGACGGCCTCCAAAACCACAGAGAAACCCTTTCTCGAAAAACCAAAAAAGAAAAGAAAAGAAAAAAAAAGACAGCAACACTGCACCTTTTTGACCATATTTTTTTTGTAGTCATATTTCCATTAGAAAAGGTTCTCTCTTTGACACTGAGCCCCACTTAGATGATCCAGAGTCCTTGAGCACAGCTGCAAGTTCCCTTTGCATGTGAGGTAACATACTTAGCATTCCAGTGGTTGGGCTGTAACCATCTTTCAGGACTCTTTATTTTGGCTACCACAACACACAGCACTCAGGAGGCAGAGGCAGGCAGATCTCTCTGAATTCAAGGCCAGCCTGATCTACAGAGTGAGTTCCAGGACAGCCAGGACTGTTTCACAGAGAAACCCTGTCTTAAAAAAAAAGAAAAAAGGCAACATGGAGCCTGGTTTGGTGTCATGCCTGTAATCCCAGTGCTCAGAGAATAAAGGAAGAAGGGCAGAGAATTCAAACCAGTCTGAGCTGCACAGTGAGACCCTGTGTCTTAGTCAGGGTTACTATTGCCATGACCAAAAGCGAGTTGGGAGGAAAGGGTTTATTTAGCTTATACGTCCATATTAGTTTATCATCGAAGGGAGCTGGGACAGGAACTTAAGTAGGGCAGAAACCTGGAGGCAGGAGCTGATGCAGAGAAGAGCTGCTTACTGATTTGTTCCTCATGGCTCACTCAGCCTGCTTATACAACCCAGGACCACTAGCCTACTGATAGCCCCACCCACAATAGACTGGACCCTCCCACATCAAACACTAATTAAGAAAAATGCCCTACAGCCTAGTCTTATCTACAGCCCAGTCTTATGGAGGCATTTTTTCTCAATTGAGACGCCTTTCTTCACTGATGACTCTAGATTGTGTCAGGTTGACATAAAACCAGCCAGCACACCCCGTTTCACAAACAAAAGGGGAGAAAGTCATATTAAAAAGTGGAACAACTTTTAAATTCATATCCGCTTCCTTCCTATGTCATTTCTAACTTCATAATATTTTATTTCTGCTACTTTACCTTTCTTTTCAAAACCCACTTCTCAAACTGATTGTAGCATCTTATACCATCAATCCCCACGCTTGGGAGACAGAGGCCTGGGGATTACTTTGAGTCCAAGGTCAGTGTGGGCCACATAGAAAGTATTGGACCAGCCAGGTAGGCTCTGCAGTAGATGTACCTGGCTGGTTCTGGTTTAGCTTTTGATTGACTGCCAGCCTCTGTGGGAGCATGGTTGTTCACATGCTTGCTGAGTTAGCTGTTTGGCCGACAAGTTCCTGGCTGCTTTTGGTTATGTCTGTCAGTGTTAACCCGATTTTATGTTGTCATCAGGTCTATGAAGATTGGGATTGCTTCAAAGTCAATGATGTTCTTGAGTTATATGGTGTGCTGTCTGTGGATCCTGTCCTGAGCATACTGAATAATGAAGAAAGGTGAGTCTGTTTGCTAGGTTTTTCTTTGCTACTTTTTCACCTCAGAAAACTGGCAGATAGTTATAAAGAACTTCCTTTCCTGTCTTCAGATTTACCAGTTGCCACTGCCCATGCCCCATGTGCTTGTCATTACTGATGCTGGTGTACCGCCCTCACTTCATCCCTGCAGCCTTGCCAGGCTGTGTCTCATCCATGAGAGTGTTGTTACTGCCAATCACTCGGTTAAGGGGTGTCTCCTGTCGTGTTAGTGCTTTTCACTTCGTTATTAGTAATTTGAAAGATACTTTATGTGAATGTCCAGCATCTCAGCATCTGTCGACTTGTGTCTCTCAAAGGTTTTTCAATAACTTTGTCTCTGCTACAGTAGCTGTTTTCCACTGTGCCACTCCTACAGTTGTTATTCAAGAAAATTCTTTGTGTCAGTATGGAACTAATAGACTCTCATTTTATTCAATATCAGTATGTCATTTGAAACTCAGATTTTCCCAGATTTAGCTAGTAGGAGCCACAGTGAACAAACTATGTAGCATACTTTCTTTTGACCACCAACCAGCTCCCAAATCATGACACAGAGACTTATTAGTTATGCATGCTCAGCCTTAGCTTATTCCTGTCCAACTAGCTATTATAGCTTACTTTTACTTGGCTTTCTTCATCTACATGATTTTTGCCTTTCATTCTGTATGTCCTACTCTGTGTCTGTCTTTCTGGCAGCTGCTAGGTGTCTCCTCTCTCCCTCAAACTCCTTGTTTTCTTTTCTCTCCAGCCGAGATTCCTCCTCCTACTTACTCTCTGCCCACCAGCCCCACTTTTCCCTCCTTTGCCTAGTTGTTGACCATTCAGCCTTTTATTAGCCAATCAGGTGCCTTAGGCAGGCAAGGCAGCACATCTTTACATAATTAAACACATGCAACATAAACAAATGTAGCACATCTTTGTATAGTTAAAGTAATATTTCATAGCAACTATAGCTCCTTAAGATGACCTCACGTTCTGTTTGTTGCATTAAGCAACTTGGACTTTGTATGTATCAACTTATTGTCATCTAGTTTTTCCAGGAAGGCATTTTTTTTTCTGGTGAGGAATTCTATTTAAATCAAGAGTCAGTTCTAACTGATACTGGGTTGGTTCATTTTTGGATCCTAGTGATGGATGGAGCTAGGAGACTGTTAGTTAGCTTTCTGCCCTTATATGTGAGATCATCTACTTACAAAGAGTCAGTGTGTGGCTCACAGTTGTGGAGTCCCTGTCACATGCACTGGGCCAGTTTGCTCTGTATGGAGGTATCGTATCACGGTGGGAAGTGTGGCTGAGAAGAACATACCCATCTAGTGGCTAGGATATAAAAGACATAGAGAAGAAAAGCCCAGTTCTGAAGTCCCCCCAGGCCAGTTCTCTCGAGACCTCTATTTCTTCCTGCTTCTTCAAGGTTGTGCCATCTCACAGGGCTCCCACATGATCCCGTTTGTCAGGTGTTAGTCTGAATGCCTGTCCTCTGGGGTACTGTTTAGAAAGACTTCCTGAGCTTGAAAGTTCAAGAGTATACCCTACTTGATTTATTCGGAGTTGAGTTTTGTGTAGGGTAACAGATAAGAATCTTCCCCCACACATATTAAATTTTTTAAATGTATTTTTATATTTTCTTTGAAAAGCTATGAATTTACCTGGGCCGTGGTGGCGCACACCTTTAACCCCAGCACTGGGAGGCAGAAGTAGGAGGATCTCTGTAAGTTTGAGGCCAGCCTGGTCTATAGAGTGAGTTTCTATAGAGAAACCCTGTCGAGAGAAGGAGGGAGCAGGCTATGAATTTGCTGTGTGTGGTGAAACACAGGCATAATCTCAGCACTTGGAAGGCTGAGACAGAAAGAATTGAGTTCTAGACCAGCTTGGGCTACATAATATAGCAAGACACTGTCAAAAAAGAAAAAAGCCTTGAGTTCACACTCATGCAATGCAAGCTCTGTCATTCCAGTTGTCTTCTTCTATAGTTGTGTATTCATTGGCGTCAGTGTGTTTGGCCGAGTTCTGCAGTGTACATAGAAGGGATTTGCAGAATTGGTGAGCTGTGCCACTAAGGAAAAACCTTGGGATTAAATGTTTAGTGTCTGTTTCCAATGTCTTTGTTTTCATATTTTGTCTTTTAAGACAACATGTCACTATATGGACCAGGCTGGCCTCAAACTTGTGTCAGTCCTCCTGCCTCTGCCTGCTGAATGCTAGGATTACACCAGCACACCAGCATCTAGTACTCTTTTATTTTAAAGTAAGGCTTTGTGTTCAGAATGCTACCCTCCACAGTGGCCCAGGTACCTCTCTTGTCCATGTTGATTCTGGTGTTTGCTTCATGTAGGTTCCCAGTTTTTTTCCATTACTACAGAACTAGAAGGACTATGCTATCCCAGAAGTACCCAGGAATGCCATTGTGTATCCCCATTCCTGTTCTTTTGGTCCCACCCACTGGGAACCAGATTCCTAGTCTCTGACAGTCCCTCCTACCTATATTTATCCAGACCCAACAACTTTCCATCTAAGTTACTGAGACTTCCTGATTCAGAGCGTTAGAGCACAGACGGGCAGACTTGGGAGTGAATTTGTGAGCTTGTGAGATCTGATGGAGTTTGTGTGTATAGTTGAAGACTTTACACATTCACTCAGTGACTTCAGAGTGAGTCTATCATATTAGAATTGATTAGCAACCTGAATGTTCATACTGCCTTCATCACTTACCCACAATTTCAAGAGAGCATCACATGAGAATAAAATTTAGCAAAGAACGTTACCAAGATAGAGGCAAATGATTCTCTGCACTCAATAATAAACTCTGTGTCTTTGGAGAAGAAGATCCAGTGTTTGGATGTGCTGAGAATTCCAGGAGCACCTGATTTGAAATGGCCTTGTGAATGACACCCTCTGTCATGTATGTGGCACCGTTTGGTCACTGAGTTAAACACTTTGGTCTTGGACAGCAGAATAAACCCATTGTGCTGTACAATGACCCAGCACTTGTGAGTGATAAAAACCATTTTAGATTGAGGAGCCACATTCTGCCATTGGGAGATGGAGAATCTCTCGAGTGGGGTTATGAATCTGTCTTCAGAGTGTATGTTGTTTTTGCACCTTTGCTATTTGGCATCTCTAAACCAACATATCCTTCTTTCAACAGGGAGGCGTCTGCATTACTGGACCCCATGGAGTGTACAGACATGGCAGAAGAGCAGAGGGTGCATAGTCCTCCAGCTTCATTAGTGCCAAGGATTCATGTGATTTTAGCCCAGAAGTTGCAGCACATCAATCCTTTGTTACCCACTTGCCTTAACAAGGAGGAGAGCAGAACCTGTAAGGGTAAGTGTTGGAGCCCATGAATGGCAGTTTCACCTCCATGGGAGCCATAGTCCCTGCTCACCAGAGTGAGTTTTCTAATAATGCCTGTGACTTTGCCCCATTGCCTCCTCTTCTAATTCTTGTTATTAATGAGACCTAAGCAAGAACAAAGGAGCTATAAGCTGTCTTTTTCTAATGTTGGCATCACTTTTTAATTATTTTAGTATTACATTTATCTATGGGGGTTAGAACATGCATGTGCCAGGGTTTGCTTGTGGAGGTAAGAGGAGAGCTTACAGGAGGGAGGCAGTCCTCTCCTTCCTTCCACTATGTGTGTCTTTGGTCATCAGGACTTGGCGACAAGTACCTTTATTCTCTGAGGCATCTTGCCCACTCTAATGGTGGCATCATTTGTCGGCCATTACTCTGAGTTCATGCTCAGCGTCTCCAGGATTGCAGTGTGCTTTCCTGTACTTGCACTGAGGTGCCGGTGCAGAGCTGGCGTGCGCACTCTGTTTGCCTGCCTTCCTTCTGCAGTCGTGTCCGGCTTCATGTCTGAGTTGTCTCCAGTCAGAGCAGAGCTGCTTGGATTCCTCACACACGCGCTCTTGGGAGATAGTTTGGCTGCTGAATACCTGATATTGCATCTCATCTCAACAGTGTAAGTGCTGTGCTCTTTGTGGGGACTGAGGTGTGGGATGAGAAGGGAACTGCTGTGGTTTTAGTTGTTTGTTTCAGTTTATCAGCTCCATCTTCAGGTGGAATTTTTTTGTTCCATATATCAAATACACCAATACAGATTCCTCTTTCATCTTTTCTTAGTTTCACACAAAACATTTTGACTATGTCATGTTAGTAAATTTTAGAGGCAAGATCAGACAGGACATGACTGATGAGTAAAATGAGCTATTCCATCTTTTCTGCATTCTTCATTTTTCTTTATGGTAATATAGATTAAACCCAGGATTTTCTTGTGCACACTAGGCATCCCATCCCCATACCTCTGTTTGTATTGTACTTCTGCAGGCTCTGCTTGTAAAATTATTCCTATCTTTGTGTATATTTAATTTGTATATTGACTTTAATGCTCCCCCCTTTCCTTTTGTTTATTTATTTATTTTTATTTGTTTATTTACTTTTGATAAAAAGTTTCTCTGTGTAGCCCTGACTGTTCTGGAACTTGCTCTGTAGACCAAATTGGCCTTGAATGCAGAGATCTGCTTGCCTCTGCCTCCTGCATGTTTGTATTAAAAGGTGTGTGCCACCACGGCCTGGCAGGTTTTTTGCTTTGCTTACAAAAGTAATGTATTTTAATAACAGGAAGAAAATTGCCTCCTGTCACATGTTCCCATTTGCTACTTGTGGTGTTCTTTGGTTTATGTCCATGTGTTGTTTGCTCATGTGGGTGCCAGTTGTGGCTGAAGTGCAGACCCTCATTTTACTTTTCACATTTAATATTTAGTGAGCTCCATTTTCTCATCACAATACTTGTTTTGAACTAGGGCATCACTTTGAAGTTCTGGCCTGGAACCTTCTGTATAGACCAGGCTGGGCTGCAACTCAATAGAGATCCTTTTCTCCTGTTTCCTGAGTGCTGGGATTGAGGGCATGCCACCACACCCTGCCTTCTTCACAAGCTTTCTAATGTGTGCTAGTTCATTATAAATTGTGCCGTAATGTAACCATTTCCCAAAAGTTAGGTCTTCACATACACGCAAGCATGCACGCGGGCACCTGTGTGGTGAAGACTGTTAGAGTAAGCATCTTCCCCTTCCAGTGGCATGTAAGACAGTATATAATGCTTGAAAGCAGGGTTCTCGTCAGAGCTCTGTCATTGTCTGACTGGTTGCACATCCCCATTGGAAAAGCCTGAAATGCTGGGAAGTCTGAAGTACCCGAGCCACAGGCATTCTGCTTAAGTCAAACTGGGAAGCAGTATGTGTCAGCTCATATCAGGCATGCTTAGCCAGGACGTTTGCAGACGTTCTGAACACTTCAAGTCTCAGCATTTTGTACTTCAGCCCACCTTGAAATGTTTGGAGAGCAGTAAAAAGGCATGTGAGCAGTAGTTTTGTTTTTGTTTTTTTTAATATTGGCTATTATTTAGCTGCTATTGTTCTAATACATAAAATAACCAATGTCTGCAAAAATTAAATTTATTTTATGTATATGGCTGTATTGCCCAAGTGTCTGTGCATGTAGTACCCATGGAAGCCATAAGAGGGCATCTTATTCTCCCTGGAACTAGAGTTAAAGATGGTTGTGAGATGTCATGTGGGTTCTGGGAATTGAACCTTGGTCTTCTGGGAGAGCAGCCGGTGCTCTTAACCACTAAGCCATTTCTTCCTGCTTCTGCAAAATGTCTAATGATGGTATTTCAATATCTTACCTTTTTTTTCCCCCCTCTCCTAGATATACAAGAAGAGATGTTCTTCCACTAGGAAAATTTACAGTTAACCTGAGTGGCTGCCCACAAAATAGTACCTTCACAGAACACCTATATCGGATCATTCAACACCTTGTTCCAGCAGTAAGATAATATTATGAAGTATTATGGACATCAAATCCAATTATTTTCTACTCACTTCAAATACTAACTTTGTATTCCTTGTGGATCTCATTTACAAGGAACAACACCTGCCAATTGACATAATTTAAAATGTACTGTCAGTATTCATATTTGTAAATCTAAAAATTAATGCAGTAGCAGTGACTCCCTTAAGATCATGCTTCCTGTGGCTGCCAGTTTGCTCCTTCAGTTTGGTCCTTTGTGTGCATATTTAACCTGAAATCTGAATAAGCTCTAGATTATATGAGCCAATTCTCTCACCTGAGGTAATAAAGCAACCTATCTCCATGCCCCAGTTTTAGGTGCTGTTTGGAAGCATCTGGAACACACAGTTTGTGTGTTGGGATCTTGGGGACAGGGGAATTGCTCTGATGAATTGTGTAACTAAAACTGCTGGCCACTTCTTTGGGACTTAAAAAGTGAAGCCAGGTCCTTCAATGAACAACCTGTCATGTCTACACTTCAGGCCCTGCAGAAGCAGCTATGCTTTCCCTAATTTCTGACATTAGTAATTGCAACTGAAGACAATGAATCATCCGACACTGACGCTGTTTTGCATTTTGCCAAGCTCTTGCATTTCTAAAGTAATGGGAGACCCCTAGATTTTTAGTTCATTCCCGCATTCACACCTGTGGTGATGTGTTTTGATCTGGTGTGTTTCTTACATGATAGCACATTCTCTATAGTAAAAACTCTCTTCCATTTTGAAAGAATGAGAGTAAATGTGCGACTTTTCATAGACCCTGGAACAGGATCTTAGTAGTTCCCTAGGCCCACACCTCCTGAAATAGGATCTCTGAGTTATATTTTTATGGTACAAGACCAAGAATGTAATTGCTGCTGTGTGCTTTCAAAAATTCACAGCAGAACAGTGAAACCCTTGAAATGGGATGGGGATCACTGGCGGTACCCATATATCCATTAATCCAGAAGGGGCTAAGATTCATGCATGTTTCTGGAGCAGACCTGGTGGCTGCCCAGGGGCATGTTCTCTAAGGAACAGCATGGTTTTTAAGGGGTGTCAGGAAAGAAGCTGGTGTGGTACCAGCTGTCAGACACGATGTAGTGCCAAAGGCCGTCAGATCTCAGTTGTGAGGCAGAGGTTCTTGGCACACTGGGAGACGGTGGCAGAAGGGGCTTAGAGACCAATGTGGTAGGTGTTTGCATTTTGTCCTGGTTGCTTTTCTTGTTTTGCTTTTTACTGACCCTGTCTCCTCTTTTATCACTCTTAGCATACTGATGCCAGGTCCTTTCTCAGTGCTCTTCCTCTCTATAATACATTCAGCTTTTACTACTGGTTAAATGTGTCCTGCCTATAGGTCTGTGGCAGAGTCAGCCCCAGAGCCAGCACATGCCACTTTTTTTGTTTTGTTTGTTTTAAGATTCAAAAATTTTATGTATATGAGTGTTTGGCTTGCATGTATATCTGTGCATCACGCACATGCTTGGTGCCCATGGTGGTCAAAAGGTGTTGGGTCATCTAGAACCGGAGGTACCGATAGCTGTGAGCCACTGTATGGGTGCACCAGGAATAGAACCCATGTCCTTTGTAGGAACAAGTGTTCTTAACCACTGAGCCATCTCTGCAGCCGGATACCTTTTTGACAAGCCCTGCCTCTTCTGGGATTTCATCTGTAAACAATCCCTGTCCTTCTTTCTAAGAGTAATTGAGCCAAAGTACAACATTCTCTTAGACTTTGGCTGTAGTCTTCTTCCTCCTCCGCAGACTTCCCACGCCTTGCTTTTCTGGAGGCTGGAACATGCATGAGTAGAGCAATCTAGAGCAGAGTGTGGTGGAGGCTGGAGGCAGAAACGGGGAGGGCCGTGCTCTGGGCTGGAGTGTTGACAGTGAGGTCTGCAGTGGCATGCAGTGATCTGTGGTAAAGGAATGGGCCTTTCAAGCCTTTTCTCTGGCCTCAGTGAGGAGGACCAGCAGATTTGTGTGTTTTTTTTTTTTTCCTTCGAGACAGGGTTTCTCTGTGGCTTTGGAGGCTGTCCTGGAACTCGCTCTGTAAACCAGGCTGGCCTCGAACTCACAGAGATCCGCCTGCCTCTGCCTCCCGAGTGCTGGGATTAAAGGCGTGCGCCACCAACGCCTGGCCCAGTTTTGTATTTTACTAGTTCCTGTTGCTTAAGGAAGTTCAGCTTCTGGGGACCTGATGTCTGAACCTCATTTGTCTACCATTTGTTTCAGAGTAAAACTTACTCATTAAGACACATTTTCTTTGTATCTCTGGATGACCTTATCTGTCTAGCATGCACCAGGCCCAGATGACGACAGAGAACAAGCAGCTAGCTATAAGAAGCGTGGATTGTAGTGTGGTCACAGTTCCTAAGAGTTGCAGAGACTATTTTGTCTCTTAGAAATGATATCATACCATGTGAAACACAAATGTTTTGACTCCAAATATGTGTCAAGAGAAACTTGAATCCTTGCTCATTACAATCTCTGTCTCAGTCTTTTCGTCTGCAGATGACAATAGAAAACATGAACCAGTTGAAATTCATTCCCCACAAAGACTATACAGCCAATCGACTGGTCAGCGGGCTCCTGCAGCTGCCCAACAACACGTCCCTGGTCATTGATGAGACTCTTCTGGAGCAAGGGCAATTGGATACCTCAGGTACCAATGCAGATGCTTCCTGACCCCTTGTCCATTTAGCCAGCTCTAGCAGTGGCTTCTAAGACAAACTTACATTTAACAGATATTTTTAAAACATTCATTTGACTAACACAACTGTTTGACTGTTATATTATGACATTCTGTTCATTGCCTACTAGCTCAAAAAAGGATAGAAAAGATTTAATGTAATATTTTATATGTCAAACAATTTTTTTAGTTTCTGGGGGGTAGATTACATGATTTAAACTAACATCAGCTATGAAACATGTTAAAAATGACAAGAAAGGAACATACTAGATCATGTCCACATGAGGAGAATGCAGGTGATACTGTGCTGGTGTGAGGCCCAGGCACAAAAAGTAGATGAAAAATAATGAATGTTGGGAATTTGTGAGCCAAAGAGGTGTATAAAATCAGAAAAGTTTAGCCAGAAGTGGTGACACCCACCTGCATTGGTGGTAAGAGGCACAAGAACTAGGAGCTGAAGGCTGCCTGGGCTTCAGTAAACCCCGTCTCAAAAATACATAAATTAGGAAGCCTCAACAATCTTACTGTCTAAAGAAACCATTTTCCCATCTAATCATAGCCATGACCTAGAAAGTAATGAACTTACCAGAGTTCCATTTTGTGTTGGGTATTAGGTTTAGGTGTGTTTTGGCCCCCCAAAAGTTCAGGTTGGCCTAATACTGCCTTTGGAGCTTATTGTCTAGTTGACATTTGACTTGCTGACGTTCTGCTTGTTAAATTGTTGACTACTGTTATCTTTATTTAAACAGCAGAAAAACCACATGTGCTAAGATCATTGCCAGCCAAGCTAATTTGCGCAGGTGATTAAAATCACATCACTGTGAGTTCGAGGCCGGGCTGGACCTGGACCGATAGCCTCCAAAACAATACAGAGAAACCCTGTCTCGTAAAAACCAAAACAACAACAACAACAAAAAAATCACATCACTGCCGGTAACAGTCTTCCTCTTTCAGGTGTTCATAATGTGACAGCGCTGAGCAACCTGATAACCTGGCAGAAGGTGGATTACGACTTCAGTTACCATCAGATGGAGTTTCCATGCAATATCAACGTTCTCATCACATCTGAGGGGAGGTCGCTACTCCCGGTATGCTGACTCACGGTTAATGGAGGGAGGTTACAGTGCAAAGAGTATGTTGTCACTTTATCCGTTTTTATTACTTATATTGTCTGTGTGCAGGTACGTGCACTTGTGCACAGGTATGCCAAGGCCAGGGTCAGTTTCTCAGGAACCATGCACCTTGTATTTTGAGTGTCCAGCAAGCCCCAGATTCACCTGCCTCACCTCCAGTCCCTGGGATTATAAGGATATACCACCACACCCATCCTTTTTTGTGTAGATTCTAGGGATTCTAGGGATTAACATTAGTCCTCAAGCTGCATGCTTTTTTTTTTTTTTTTTTTTTTTAGCTGGACAATGGTGGTATATACCTTTAATCCCTACATTCAGGAGGCAGTGTGAGTTTGAGGGCAGCCTGGTCTACAAGGTGAGTTCCAGAGCAGGTTCCAAAGCTACAGAGAAACCATCTCAACCCCTCAAAAAAGTTTTTTGGGGGGCGGGGAACAGGTGTAATGGTATATATACTTCTCAGCACTTGGGAGGCAGAGGCAGGCAGATCTCTGTGAGTTGGAAACCAGCTATTCTACAGAGTGAGGCATCCAGGACTACATAGAGAGACTCTGTCTCTTAAAAAACAAACACACCAAAACACACGTTTTAGTTGTGCGTCATGCATTTTATTGTTAATATTTTATGTGCATGAGTGTTTGTATGCATTTATGCGTGTTTGCCATTTACATACCCTGGTGTCCATGGAGGACAGAAGAAGGCATTTGATCCCCTGAAACTGGACTTAGGGTTGGCTGTGAATCACCATATAGGTGTTAGAAACTAGACCTAGGCCTTTTTGCAAGAGCACAGCAAGTGCTCCTAATCACTGAGCCAGCTCCTCAGCTTTGAGTGTTACTATTTTATCGATGTGGGTGTGTGCCTGTGTTCATTCATACCCACAAAAACCAGAACTGGGTGGCGGGGGTTGGAGGCTTGGAGCTGAAGTTAAATGCATTTATAAGCGTGTCCTGGGATCCAAACTCTGTCTTCTATAGAGTAGTAAGTGCTCTTAACTGCTGCACTATTCCCTCAGCCCCACAAAGGTGTGTACTTTACAAACTGAACCATCTCCTCAGCCCAGCGTTGCTTATTATTTTAATAAGTTTCACTGAAGGAGGCAGAGGTGGGAAGGTCGTGAAGTCACACCCTTCCTGGATAGCATTGTAAGACCCCCCACCTCAAAAGACTGTGAGTACAGTGCAGTGGAAAACACTTGCCTACCTTGTGTAGGGCTCTGACTTCCAGTCATAGATTTCAAAATCGGAGATTGTAGCTGCTAGTTATTAACAAGGGAACCTGTTATTTCATTTATAACTATTAAGAACCAGAAAAATCACAAGATGACTAAAGCTACTGGTAGTAGAACCTCTCATATCTAGAAATAGGGAGGAGAAGCTAATCCCCCTTAATTACCCAGACTGCTGCTCTTTGTGCCCCCCCAGTCATGTGATACATGTGTGCGCTCATACCAGTGTATGCTATGGCTGGTGTGTAGAGGAATTTTTTTCCCCCATTCACCATGTGGATCCTGGGGATCAAGCTCAGGTCATCAGGCTGGCAGCAAGTATTTTCACCAGCTAAGCCATATCCATCTCAAATGATCCCATACTGAGTTTAGGGCTAGCATGACTTACAGAATAAGATCTTGTCTTGAGCCAAACAGAAAATCGCATTGCAGTGGTTTTGTGTCTTTTATGGTTCAGTCAGACAGATTTAGTACACTTAAGATTTCAAAAATATCCCCCCCTCAAATTCATGTTACTTTGAATTCCCTTACAAGTTGAGAGCTGCATCCTCTAAAACGTAGGTTATTGTAGGATCTTGGAAATGAATTCACCTTTCTCTTTCCAGGCAGACTGCCAGATTCACTTACAGCCCCAGCTGATCCCGCCCAACATGGAGGAGTATATGAACAGCCTTCTCTCAGCCGTGCTGCCGTCCGTGCTCAACAAGTTCCGCATCTACCTGACCCTCTTGAGATTTCTGGATTACAACATATCAGATGACATAACCAAGGTATGCTTTAGTTGCAGCAAGAAATCCTGTGTTGAGTTTTGGGGTTTACTCACTGTGACTTTACTGCAGTTACCTATAAGGCAAAGTTGGTGTTTACCATCTCTAGTGTTCATTCTGGTCATCTTCTGTTTAAAAGGGATTCATTCTCTGTCCTTTCACTCAGCTGCCTCCTTCCTTTCTGCAACTGAATTGCTTTTGTTTTTGTTGGGTTAGTTTAATTATTTTCAGCACTGGAATAAAAAACAGCTCCTTTGTACATCAGTGCAGCAAGCACTTTATCTCATATCTTCAGCTCCTAATTCATCAAGTTAGTTTTTGAGCCTTGGACTTTTTAGCCTTGGCAGATGGTTTAACTATATTAATACGTGAAAATTTGCTCTTTCCAATCTGTTCTTCATTCCCTCATTCATGTTATTTCACAGATTATATCCTTAAATGTGTATACTCATAACACATAATTATCACTTTGTGCAATTGTCTTTCAAACCAGAGGGTGGAAAGGTTAAACAAGGAAATACAATTCTTGTTGCTTTTCTGAGTCACTTGTGACTTTACTATGTAGCCCGTGCTGACCTTAGACTTTGAGGGAATTTGGGGTTATAGGCAGACACCACCATGCCTGGCTTTACACTGGTCAGCATTTGCCCGTGTGGTTTCCTTTACCAAGGCTTTCTGTTCCCACCTGAAGAACCCTTTAGTGTGTTCTTGAGGGTGTCTTCTATGACAGCTTCTTCAAGCTTTTATCTGGGACCCCCCCCTTTTTTTTTTCTTTTTATCATGCTGGGTTTCAAACCCAGGCCTTCACCTGGGTTAAGCACCTGCCACTGAGCTCATACACACACACACACACACACACACACACACACACACACACACACACACACACACACACACACACACACACGAGAGATCTGCCTGTCTCTGCCTCCTAGAGTACTAAGACATAACCCTTTCTAGAGCTTAAATTATATAACAAGCACAGCAACATATTAACGGTAACAATAGTAGAACATTTATAACAGGCTTCAAGTTCGATTAAGTGAAGATGGCCTTTGCAGATCAGCATAGCAGTTCTCTGTGATTGGTACATTGAAGGTATTGAAAGAACTCCTGCCCTGCCTGTTCTGCTGTCCCAGTGGCTGCCAGGCTGTTGGTTTTCCAGGACATCACCTGAGGTGGGGGTGTAGAGTGTGAAAACAAAACAAGTTGAAATGTCACAGAACTCAACATTCTTGCTGAGAGCCTCTGTTTTCTTATATAAATGATCCCCAAGTTACTGGGAGTTTCCAGGGCTTTGACAAAGCTGACTTCAGCCATTATTTTCTGCTGTGCTGGACCCAGGCAGGCCTGTAACTTGTGGTCCTTCTCCCTCGCCTTGCAGGTGTGCACCATAGCACGGCATCACGCTGTGGAAGATGCTGGCTTCTGTGCTTGGCATTCTCAAACAGGACTGAGCTGCATGTAGAATGTTTTCCATGTTGCATTTTGTGACGGGGATTAAACTTTTGGTTCTTTCTCTTTTTACCTTCCTTGGCTCATTTGTTCATATATTTTTATTTTAGTCAAGGACCATGTTTCTTTTTCTTTACAAAAATAAGGAAATAGTTTGAAATGCACTTAAGGAAGTTTGAAGGAGTACTTTTACAAATATATTACTCTTTTGATAAAGGCAGTTGAAGATGATTTTGTGGAAATGCGTAAAAATGATCCTCAGAGTATCACAGCCGATGACCTCCACCAGTTGCTCGTGGTGGCGCGGTAAGTGTGCTCGTCCATAATCCCCTTTTCTGTTGGCTGTGTTCAGTTCTCATTTATTCAACAGCTAATCTCAGCAGACTTTTGTTTGTTGTTTTTTGAGACAGGGTCTCTCTCTAGCTTTGGAGCTATCCTGGAACTCTGTAAACCAGGCTGGCTTCAAACTCAGATCCTCTTGCTTCTGTTTCTGCCTCCTGAGTGCAGGGATTAAAGGCATGCGCCACCACTGCTCAGCTAAGGCAGACTTCTAAAAAACAAAGGGACTTTTCCTTCAAAGACACCTTCTAGAGTTGAGCAGATGGGTAAAGCTTTTGCTTGAGGACTGAAGTTCATAGGTGTGCATGGCCACAAGGAATCCCCGAGCAAATTGACTAGCCTAGTGATACCAGCCAGCCTTGGGTTCAGTTGAGAGTCCTTGCCTCAACAACTTAAGGCAGGGAGTGATTGAGGAAGATTCCTGATGTCAGCCCTGGGCTGACACAGACAGACATGAGAGAATCCTTGGAGAACCCTATGGAAGAGGGGGAAGGATTGTAGGAGCCAGAGGGCTGCCTCAAGGACATCACAAGAAAACCCATAGAACCAACTAGCCTGGGTTCATAGGAGTTCACAGAGACTGAACTAAACCTGGCAGCTGCATGACATTGACCTAGGCCTTCTGTATGTGTGTTACAGTTGTGTAACTTGGTCTTCTTGTGCGATCCCTAATAGTGGGAGCAGGGGCTGTCTGTCTGATTCTTTTGCCAGCTTCTTGGACCCTTTTCCTCATACTGGGTCACCTTACCCAACCTTAATACGAAGGAAGGTACTTAGTCTTACTGCATGCAACTTGATATGCCATGTTTGGTTGATATCCACAGGAGGCCTATCCTTTTCTGAATAGAAACTGAGGAGGAGTAGACACAGGTGCAGAGGGAGAGGTGGTGGGAGAGAGGGAAGCAGAGAAATTGTGGTCAGGGTGGCAAAAAAATGATAGTAAAAATCACTAAAAAAAAAAAACGTGCTTATTGTTTATATTTACCAGTGATGTCAGCAGAACAGGCTTGTTTTCCAAGCTTTTAAGAGTTGAGCTGCCCTGCCGGGCGTTGGTGGTGCACGCCTTTAATCCCAGCACTCGGGAGGCAGAGGCAGGCGGATCTCTGTGAGTTCGAGGCCAGCCTGGTCTACAGAGTGAGTTCCAGGACAGCCTCCAAAGCCACAAAGAAACCTTGTCTCGAAAAACCAAAAAAAAAAAAAAAAAAAAAAGAGTTGAGCCGCCCTCTAACCCTGGCTCTTCAGGGATTCCTTTTCGAGGTCGCACTCGGCCTTTGCGCATGTGTAGCCCCTGCTGAGCTTTCAAAGATTTCCTAGTTGTTAAAACTTTAATGTTCCTAACTCTAGGTAATTTTTAAATTTCAAACCAGGTTTCTGTCCCTGAGTGCTGGTCAGACAACACTATCAAGAGAACGATGGTTAAGAGCAAAGCAGCTGGAGTCTTCCAGGAAAAACAGGCTTCAGCAGCACAAGTGTGTGAATGGGAATGAACTTTAGAAGAGAATGGGCAAGCTATAGCCTCCGCTGTACAATTCAGATTCATTTATACCATATTGTTTTATAGATAATTTGTATCTAAAACAATGACTTTTCCTGAAATCAAGCCTGGTGACACCTAAAGTTGTTTATATGATTCTCTGTAAGGACTTTTACCTTACTGGTTTTATGGAGTTTTGGAGTTTGTTTTATAATTAGTTATGATGTACAAAAATGTCTTTGATATTAAAGGTTTAATTATGATGATGTTGCTGATCATACCATTTCCTTAGCCATAGATAGCTACATCTTAGGCCAGACTCTTGAAGTACCAGCTTTACCTGAAGACAGTTACTGGAAGAGCTGTGCCCTCACTTTTCTCTCTGTGTTAATGCAGAATGGCTCTGGTCTGACTTTAGTTGGGATGTACTTGGCATTGATTCTTGTGAACTCTCTGGTGTCATTTCTACATAAGCTGGCCATAGAAACTTTCCCCCCACTTATCAGCTGCTAATAACCTGCAGAACTAGGCTTTCCCATGGTAGGGGTTCCCAACCCTTAATTTCATGGACTAGTAATACTTCCAGACATCTCTGGGGTAGAGTTGCCAGTTAATTTGCCAAGTCATTTGAAAAAAAAAAAAAAACCTCACTGTGATCACCATTTTGTTTTCCTAAGAGGACTCTCAGATAAGACTCTTTCCTTGGAATAAATGCAGCTTTGTGAAGGTCACCACATTGTCCTTCGCTTTTCTCATACGTTGCATTTGGGAGGGAACTGTCATTCTAAGGGACTCTGAAGGGAATACTACCATATGGAACCTTACCCAAACACACACACAAAAACTATTTAAACTGTAAACTTTGGAGGGTGGGTAGAATCATTATTTATTGTGCTGTGTATTGAACTCTGGCCTCTCACACATGCTGGAGAGGTGCTCTATCACTAAGCTACATCTTGTGGGGGTGGGCACTTTTAATACTTTTTCATTATTTAGCCTATTTGATGACTGGATTTTGAATTTTTTTTCTTTTTTTCCGAGACAGGGTTTCTCTGTATTGTTTTGGAGGCTGTCCTGGAACTCACTCTGTAGACCAGGCTAGCCTCAAACTCACAGAGATCCGTCTGCCTCTGCCTCCCAAGTGCTGGGATTAAAGGCGTGTGCCACCAACGCCCGGCTGGATTTTGAGCTTTTAATGTAAGTTTGTCAGTTTCCAAGTGTGTTAGATGGGTAACATCATTTGCTAGTACAGTAAAGAAAGGCCCATACAGTTAGAGGTAGGTTTTCTCGGACCTATTCATTTTGATATGCATATTTTCAAATAAACAAAAGTTATGCTTATCATTTGCAAATTAATATAACATAACCTTCAGAAAGGTTAGAACATTGCTTTAGAGCTATATATGATGTACATGAAAATGAATTAATTTGGAAACAGATGAGTTCAATGGTCCCTTAATTTTTTTTCCTACTAAAGAGGCTTACATTGACATTGCTAACCAAGGAAACAGGGTCAGCCTTGATAAATCAAGGAATTAGCCTAATGAAAGGAACTACAAATTGCTAGTTGTTCAGCTTTCTTTTCCTAACCTCGAATCTATTTTTATAAGCTAATATAAATATTGTTCATATTAGAATTCTAACTGGTTTTCATTTTTATAACTGGTAGATAAGAAAATGTTCATAGATTTTTGAAAATGCATTTTCTTTGTCCTAGAACAAAGTTTTAGTTTATCTTGTCAAACTGTACCTATGTAAACTGTAATTACCGAAGAGAAGTCATAACTTTGCTTGATCTTACAGAAAAGTTCCCTTGAGTAACCTTGTCCATCAAATAATAAAACTTCCAAATTATCTGTACTGAGGGCATTTTTCATGTATTACAAGTACAGGATGTCATCTACCCAAGTCAAATTAGAAGTGACTGGAACCTTTTGAGGCATCATCTCTCGCATGCCTGCACAATGGATGGCCATGCTTGTAGCTCTTCGTCAAAGCAAGCCTTAACCCTGACCAGGCATCTATCACATCTCTTTGGAAATAACCATTGCCTTCACTTGTCAGATTCCCCGTGGGTCACCTCTATGGAAACCTACACACACAGGAAACCTACCTGACTCAGCTATCAGCACCCAGCCGCTCAGAAGAGCCTGAACACAAAGATGGGAAAGAACAGACTGCAACATCCAGTTTTTAATGTTTTGATTGAAAATAGTTTTCATTTTTAAAATAAGAACACTTTAATTGAAAAAGTTCAAAATAAGTGTTTGGTTGTGGCAAACTTGCCATGTACGAATTCTTTGATTGAAAACCAAACTATTAAATGCTATACAAGAAATTCTCACACACAGTGATGCTTTGAATTACAGTGGTACTTTAATAGTCACAAGACTCGACACTTCTAATAAATAACAAAAGCGGAATGCTTATTAACAGTTACAACACAGTGACAACAGACATCATGTTCAACTGAGAGTCACTTCACCAGAGTAAGGCTCTATGGATGCCAGAGACATTGATACCTGCTGGAATGTGCCACACTGCTTTCTTACTCTGGGATACACACGAGGCCAGTGTCCTTGCTGGTCAGTTACTGCATAAAACCAGTATTAATCTACACTTTAGGTAGGTTTTCCATAGTTCTTGAACCTACAAGAGATGCTAAATGTCCCCCTTGAAAGAGTTAAAACTTGACATTTCTAAAGAGACCTAGAGTCAATCAGTATACATGATCTTATGTTCCTGAAACAGGTGTTTGTTCAGGTATTTGGGAGAGAAAAAGAATATGGGAGAAATTGGGGTCAATCAGATTAAAATACATTATTTCACCATTATTGATTCTCAACTTCATCGAGAATGATTGAGCTGGTAAGACTACTTCTTAATTTAGTACTTCTGAACACTAGTAAAAGTTACTAAAATCTAAATGTATAATTTCCTTTATAGAGGCAGTGTACAGGAATGAACCTGATAGAGCAGGAATATGCTGATTCTTGAAATGGATGTATCCACACTGCATCTGCTTCACAGAATATCTCCCCTTCCCCCTCCAAACACCAGCTTGGTTCTTTCCTGAACCTTCCCAAGTGAGATCAACAAACCGCTCTGTTGTGTATTTGCTACTCTGGCTCTACAGTCTAGGATGATCACTTATAGTCTATAATCTGAAAATTTCCTCAGGTTCAAACTCCTTGTAAAACAATCGCCGATAAACATAATTAGAATTTGCAGTCCCTAAACTCAGTACAGGTTAAAATAGCCTCATAGGGCTGGTCCATGGTGGAGCACATCTTTAATCCCAGCACTTGGGACAAAACGTGTTCAAAAAGACAAACAAACCTGCTGGGTGAAAACTTCATTTTGAATTTTTAAATAAAAACCACAGGATTGTGACTAAAATCTAAATCTGAATTATTCGTGTCTGGCATTGTGTAAACATATTTTTAAGTTCATTTTGCTGAATTTCATTAACTACTTCAGGTTCTGCTGGACTCTTCTGAACTTTGGCCACTGCCAAGTTTATCCCATGAGTTAGACCAGCTTGGGTAATACTAGCCACTTGGACCATGGAGCTGCGAATCTTTGCAAAGGGAGAAACTGCTCTGCAGCTGCTGCTCTCTGAAGAAGGAGTCACACAAAGCCCCGCCTCCAATTCCAGCAGGCTGGAACCTGAGCTGGGGCTCTTCTGAGAGACCACAGAATGTACGGGTTCAACTGATAAAAACTGTGGGCCTGTCAAAGAACAAGAGACATTTAACTGGGATGGTCGAGAAGGCATCTGTCCCACTGATTCTGACTGGTTTTCTTCATTAGAAACATTGTTGGCCTTTCGGTTTCTTTCTTCACTATTCTGAGACACAGAGCTGGTCTCTGACTGCTCCATCATGTTGTTCTGTGCATCCTGTACAAATCTGTGGCAATAAACATCCACAGGCTTGGCAAAGCCCGTCAGTGCTCGTATGTTGTCAGCTGAAGGACTTCTCTTCAAGGGAGACTCCTGACCTTTTGCAAGCTCATTTCCATGACCAACAGTAGCTTCGGAGGGAGCATGGAGGCTAATATCAGTGCTGCTGACAGACTGGGACTGACTGCCTAATCGAGGTGCTGAAACAATAATACCACAGCTTGGGAGAATATAATCTGTTGGCCCTACACTCTCTAAAGAATTGGCTAGCTGCCTGTCCTCCTGGGACTTGGAACTTGTAAGGAATTCATCAGAGTGGTACGAATCATTATCTGAAGACATGTCCCCATCAGACTCCCGTTGGACCTGATTATCCATCACTCCCGAGTTTTCCATGGTCTCAAGACTACTGTCTGACTTCCAAAGATTGACTTTTAAGTTTGGTTTTAGAAAGTTAACTTTCATTTCAGGCTTTGTAAAGTTTCCTAATTTTCGTAGGCTGCCAATGTTCACATTGGATTTGGTCTGCTTTACTTTTTGATTTAGAGATGAAAATTTGCTCATTAGAAAACTTTTCCCCTGGGCCAGAGAGCCTTGGTTTTGAGATCTGATACCAATGATGTCTTCATGAGGCTTACTGCTTTTCCTAGAAGTGTCAAGAGAAAAAAGTTAATTCCTCATGGAATCTAAAGTACCTATACCAACTAATATCAGTGGAAATGCTTTGTAAGTAGCCCACATTTCTTGGAAGCAGGGCACTACTAATACTAATTGATAATTCCAAATAACTGGAGATGACACTAAAACACCACCACCATGTAATAGAAAGAATATAACCAAAAACTTTCTAGCAGCTACATTAAAACAGGTGGAATTAAAGTTTTACTTACTAAATACTACACCTCACACAGATAATATAAAAATTTATATCTTGTTCCTTTTTGCATCAGGTCTTTAAACTGGTCAATGTACAGTAGTGAGATTACAGCATAACTGAACTGTGACCACTTACATTCCAAAGGCTATGACCTCATGTGGCATGAGGCTGTCACCACAGATAAAGGTCTAAGGTTCCAGGAGAGCACTAGCTGACTGTAGTGGAGACCTGCCAGAATTCCAAGCAGTCTACATGGCTCCAGGTCAGTCAACTCAATTTTTTTTTTAAAGATCTGGGATATATAATATACTTAATCTGTTTTTCTTTGTCATCAAATGTCTATGCACGTCTGTCCTCAGGTCACCATGCAGAATCACCTACCACAGGAGCACTGCAGGAAGAGTAGGTACCTGAAGAGCTGTCACAATTCAGAGTAGACAGGAACAGTTCTCCTACAATAGTGGAATAGGACCATAGAGCCTGACCAGTGTGCTTAGGAGGAGCACACCGTAAATCTGAAATTGCCTGTGGATAGGAATTAATGTTTAAAATACACTATTTTTCCTCTGTAGTGATATTGGGATATGCCCTCTGGTCACTGAGAGCAGAAAGAGCATCCACTGTGGTCAGAGCAGACAGGACTTTCTCTTAATTCCTGTGAGCCATGTTTCATCACAATTTTCATACGTACTACTTAGCTAGGAACTCAGAAAGTCTAGACTAGCATTTGTATTAAACACATCTGGATATTGAGATATAATATAAATACCATGTCACTTAATAAAATAAAAACCTGATCTTGCTCAGGGCCCCAGGGTGAGTAACAGAATCTACAATCAACAGAGGGCTAACCTTATTATCACAGCTGGCCATGGTATGCACTCCCAATCCCTGCATCCTAGGGCTGAGGCAAGATCAAGAATTGAAGCTAGATCCTGTCTCACCAAAGCAAAGGGCCTTTAGCTCAGTTGGTAGATGATTTTCCTAGCATGCAAGAAACCATGTGTTCAGTCTCCAGCACAATATAAAATGGTTCTGGTGGCATAGGTCTGTAATGCCAACACTGGGTGGTGTTTTAAATTGTATTTCTTAGGAGCAGTGGTATATTGGGCCTGTTGTTTGGCTGGCTATTTGCTACGATGTGCTTCTGTTTTAAGACAGGCTCTCTATACCCATTCTGGCTTTGAACTCTGCCACCTCACTGATGCTGGGATTTCAGGTGCACACTGCTGAATCTGGCTTTGAATGTCGTCTTCTCTTGATACTGACCTCTCAAGCTTCTTCTCAACTATGGGAACATCCAGCCCCATGGCTTGCTTGGTGATCTGTAGCATCTCTGCAATGCACTGAAGAGTATCTGAAATCCAAACACAGCCCTTACTATTTCCCCAAACACTAGAATATGATAGTCTCAAGTTGAATTTAGCTGTGGCCACAGATTTAAATACTAGTTTATTGCCTGTAACTTAAAGAACTATTGCTTGTTCACTATCCTCCACCCTACTAATTCAAAGTCTTCTAAATGATGATTTTAACAGAAGAAAGAGTCAAAAGCAAAAGAGCTAAATGAACAGCAATTAAGCGTTTGTTAGAGCTCACAGGATCCAATCACAGTGTGAGCACTGGGATAGTGCCCATGAACAAGTAGCGGTCCATGTTTGCCTTTAGAAAAGCCTGAGAATCCATATAACTTCCTTCAGGACCAAACACTACAACTTCTACCACACAGCACCTTGCCCAAACTACACCATCCATTCAGAAAGGAACAGAGATATCTGAATCACAAGAGGTCATTTCTTCTACCTGGTGTCCAAAGCAACAGACTTGTAATAGACAAGCTATTACTAAATTTACTAAATAATTTCACTTTTCCTCCCTTTTTTTTTTTTTTTTTACCTTTCCCATCTTCCTCTGGACTGCGTATCACGGCTCTCAGTGTGTGGAAGTAACCACTTGCTTCTTTACATCTATAGTGCAGTCGCATGCAGGAGAACTTTGGCTTTCCAAAAAGAGTAGGTTCAGGACCTAACATAAATGAGTACATTTAAAATTGTTTTTTCACATAACATTCTCTTCCTT